TAACATATTAACAAGAAGTACTGGATTTTCGGTATTTATGCAAAATTTTACACGTGTACATTTCCACATTGTGAACAGTCACTATGAAAATTCTGGTTTTGCCTGATAGCCCGGTAGAAGAAGGACGTGCCAAATTTGGCACCCAAAATTCTGTAACCAAAATTCTGACAGCCAAAATCTTGATAATCTAAAATCCCAACAAAACCTTTATAGCCGGAATTCCAACACCCATAATCTGGGCAGTTGTAATTTGTACAGTCCACATTCCCGACCACCAAAATCCTGACAATTTAGAATTCTGACAGCCTAAAATCCTGACGGCCAAAATCCCAACAACCTAAAATCCAAACAACCCAAAACACTAAAATCTTTACAGCCACAGTTGCAACACTCATAATCCCGAGAGGTAAAATTCCGATAGCCATAGTTCCGGCACCTATAAACCCGACAATTAAGTTCCTAACCGGCTAAATCCCGGTAGCCAAACATTTTGACAACCAAATTCCCGACAGTTATAATCCCATGTATACTCGTCGACCGCATCACAGGCAGATTTTTAAACAGCAAATATATTCATCGCACGCAGTTAACAAGTTAGGTAAAGTTCGATCAATCAAGATTTTGGACGCCGGGATTTAACTATCGCAATTGTAGCTATCGGGATTTTGGGATGAACCATCTACAGGCAAAAGTAGTACTGTCAGTAGTAATGTCAAAATACTATTCTTCGGCATCGACCATTCTTTTTGCGCTGCAACCAGAATTGTTTTCTGAAAATCCTAAAATACAATTCCCTGTATTGAGCGTCGATGTGCCAGAATTTCAATGACAAGTTTAAATGAGTCTAATTCACAAAGACGTTGATGAAGTTTTTGAAAGAGCATGTGAGAGGGAACTCTTCATAAAGACGTACTGCTAAAGTAGTTCCATTGGTACGACCATATATAAAATACACATCTGCCATTTCTTGTTAGAGTGATACGATGACATTTTCAGCAGGATAGTTTGCATTTGTGTAATACTAATATGATCTACAACCGTCTATATGACTGATTTATTCTGGATGAAACTTATTGTCGGCACTTGAATGAGAATATTTGACATGGTGTGTAAACACTAAAATAAAGCTCATTATGATGCTAGCAGGCAGAAACGTTTATATCTCAGAAATGGTTGTCATTTCGACCTACATGACGGCTCTTTCATTCAGAGTGTGTTCTGTGTACCATATTAAATGTTTTTTTTTAATACTCTGTAGAAGCGGGGAATCGTACAGGAATGAACATGGTACAATAAACTTCAATTGGTGCACTGTCGTAAACAAAATTTAATAAATGGACATTTTTCAGAAGAATGACGCGATTTTCATCCTTTTTCGAAGTTCAACGTATTCAAACGAAAATGCTTTGATTTCACAGAAGGCAACAAAAAAGTATTGACGAGTTTAGAAATATTTTTAGAAAATAATAATTCAAAAATTGAAAGATAAATATAAGATACAATAGCATTTAAAAACATCCGAACCAGTTTTATGGCATTTGATTGTTGAAAAGAAGGGTGCACAAAAACTGATCCTTTTTCGGCTCTCGATTTTAAAATTGACTCATATGTCAAACGATAGAATATCATAAGACATTATTAAAAAAAAGTTTTACGTCTGGTTTCTACGATATGGGGCGTCAAAATTGAAATCATCCATTAAGAAAATGTGACATTATTATTACATTGTGACGTTAAATTTGAGGTGTATAAAAAGTAATCTGCCCAGGATTTCTTGAATTGCCAACGTACAACTTTCCTTCTTAAACGCAATATGAGTTATTCAATCATCGTCAAATTCGACTTTTGAAGCCCACCTCTTTTCAAAATCGGTGCAAGCTATCTAGCATTCCAGTGTCAAAAAGCGCCCATAATCGATAGAAGCACCAAGTGTCAGTTACACATGTAATAAGCTTTATGATTTTTTTTTAAACGCAAAAAGCACTCAAACATTTCTCAGTAAGGTTATCTAACAAGGAAACATATCGAACCGGGATACACCGATTTTAACCCCTTGCACTATGGCTTATTTGTCAGGTGCATCAGTCAGAACTGACTAATTAGAGCTACAATATTAATACAAACAAAAAAATGTGAAATGTTATGTCAATATGTTATTACGCAATCGTTGACTATGCAAATTATAATTGGACTTGAACTTCAAATTGAAGCGTACTAAAAATTCGAGTAAAATTGATCACGGCCGAAGTACAAATCCGTCACGAGTCTGACTAGTCAAAATATTGCAAGGGATTAATGAAACTTATGTGAAAAATAGTTCTTATGAAAATATTTAACAAATATTTTTTTTATCGGCCATCGTTCACATTGGAGGGGTGAAAATAGCCCTCAAAGTTAAGGGATGAAATCATATTTTTGGGAATATTTCCGGAATTAAAGGTGAGAGCTGTCTATTACGCTCTCCCTAAAAACCATCCCTCGATGGTAGAGGAACTCATTGTTAGTACCAGATATACGAGTAACAAACCTCATCACATTTTTCACATCCAATAATGCACCTATTCATTCTCTAAGAAGCTTATGCAAGCTGTTCATATTACACTTTGACCTCCAGCAAACTATGCCTTATCGATGTAGAAATTTTGTTCTAGATAGAGTTAGCAAATACTCTTTTGAACTGGAATAATACATTTATATATTCTTCGGAAAGGATATCTGAATAGTCTGACCACCGCCAGATTAGGTGTCCAGCTCATAAAAACTACCCTCATCCGGTAGATCCAACTTTCAGCTAGATATGTAACACACCTCCCAAAATCTGTTGGAGTGTGAAAATACATCTAAATATCCTTCAGAATGGCCGTTTAAGATTTTCGTTGTGACTGTAACAGGACCGCATCAAATACTTTTCACCTTATATCTCAGAAACCAGATGTATACTCACCGTGAAACTTCTTTTTTAATAATGTATAATCATAAGCTATCTTTTAACATAAGAATCGATTCCAAAGCAAGGACCGAAAAAGGGATAAAAAATCAATATATTTGGCGGACCCAAATTTTAAAGTAATTTAATTAAATTTTATGATATGAGTAATTCTGTAAACTGTATATACTAGTGAATTGCAATATCAATTTTTGATACAGTTCGAACGTTTAAGTTGTTTTTAAAGGATCGTTGAAGCTGGAGAATTATTGAAACTAATTTAATTACGTAATTAAGAGTGTAGCGTAAAATTAAATCATATTGCTCTTACTTTTTAAGAGCAATTAAATTGCTCTTAAAAACTCTCCACTTTTAATGACTGTTTAAAACTACTTGAATATTTAAAATGCAATAATTAATATGGAAATATTCGGGACAATTTTCAGAAACGTCCCAGGATAAAAAAAAATTGAATGTTTTTTCGCAATTATTGCAGAATTTATTTAAACGTAAAAAATTTAAATAAAAATTCTGCCAGAGATCAGCGAATTTGTTTGAAAATAAAAACCATATATTTTATATTAAAATCGAGTTTTATACAAACTACAAACGAGGAAAATGTTAATAATTTTGGAATTCATTTGAATTACTTTCAATAATTCAAATTCTATGCAACTATTATTCCCTATCATTTGTTATTATTATTCTGCGGAATTAAATTTTAAATCTTCGAAAGTTTGATTTTGCTGTATCTTATCCGTTCTCCATGAAATTTTAAAAAAGAGAAGTAGTATTTCAATAAAAATTTAAATGAAACCTTCATAATTAAACATAACGATAATTGTGCTTCAGAATGCTGGATCACATAAAAATGAGAAAATGGAAAATATTAATACGAATCAATAGATATTGTTATAGGTAGCTGAAGTGAAAAATTGAAAAATGCAGGATAATGAACAAAATATTGGTACGTTTTGCTTATAATATCACTACATGTTAAAATAGCATATATCATATTTCTTTATATTTATTATAATTGCAATATATATGCTGCTGATTTAAGACAATAGTAAACGTATATTGCAATAACATTTAAATTAAGTTAAAACGATTAAACTTGATACGTTATTATGTTGTTGAGCTACTATGGTTTTGAAATCAAATCGATTAATCAGAAATAAAGTACAAGAATAGATCGATACTCACATCAAGTATTAATATGTTATTTGAACAGAAAAATACATGTACAATTGAATGCAATATAGACATTCTATAATTAAAGACACATGTAAATTTAAAAATTTTCTGAATTAAAATAATTATTTCAATTTCTCTCTTCTAATTTTCTGATTTCCCAACTTCCCAATTTCTCAATTTCTCAATTTTTCAACTTCCCAACTCCTCAATTTCCCAATTTCTCAATTTCCCAATTTCCCAATTTCTCAATTTCCCAACTTCCCAACTTCCCAATTTCCCAATTTTCCACTTTCCCTATCTTCCTGTCTTTGAATCTTGTAATTATCCTATCATCCAATCGTCTAATATTTCTATATTCAAATCTTCTAATTTTCCCATCTCTAAGTCTACAAATACCACAGTTAAGTTTTGAAACCTAGATTTTCTGTACTTTTATATTCTTAAATTCAAAGGTTTCCCAGTATCTATATTCCTAAATTCCTAGACCCTTAATTTCCAAATTCAGATATCTGGAAATTTCTCGGCCGCTAAATCCCGAAATATCCATATCCATAGATCTCTAAATCCAAGATCTAAAACTCCAAAATCCCAAATTCTTTAAATCTTAAAATTCCCAGTTTCCTCTGTCTCTAACTTGTTAATCAATTATCCATATTTGAAAATACCTCAAAATTATGCCCTAAGTGGAACGCGTTATTCCGGTTTGATCTCATATTTTTCCTAAGGAAATCAGATTTTAATCTCACTGTACATGATTAATATTATATACAATTACGTGATTATTGTGATAAAATTTCAATATCATTCGATAAAGGAAATTATTGAAAGCAATCGACGTCTAAAATAAAAACAAGAAATATGTAGTTTTATGACTCACCAAGACACGATTTACCATCGGAGGCCAATTGATAGCCAGAAAGACATTCACAGCGAAAAGAACCAGGGTCGTTATGACAAATTTCTGCACACCCAGCTAATCCCTCGGCACATTCGTCTATGTCTGTAACATATCAGAGATAAATCCCTAAAAAATTTCAGTCTTTATTTCTTCAAAGCAGTGAATACAGGAGTCCAACCGAATAACATGTAAAAGGGAACAGTTTATAAAAAAAAATAAGAAAAAATATAGAATACGTTTTTTTCGATTTTCGACTTAGTTTTCGAGAGAATCGTGCTTGAAGGTTCGCTGCATTCTTTGTTGTTATGGCAATGTTATTTTCTGTCGAGCAACGTAAACGCGCATTGTGCTTGCAAACAATGTCTACACATCACGTGAATGCTATTGGCTTGAAAGAAAAACACGACAAATATTTTCAACGAAAAGAATTTTACTTTTTCAGTCGCGGAATTGCTGAAATTGTTCCAGTTGTCGGATGCACGACTAATTACCGAAGCATGAAAACTCGGTCACAGGTTTTGACTTTTCTTAAATGAGTAATTACTTGCACTGATTGCTTCACAATTTTGACACCTTTATTGTATACTTTTCCTTCACTTTTGACATCTTTACTGCATACTTTTCCTTTAATATAATCCCATAAATAAAAATTCAAGGGTCCAAAATCTGTGGACCGTAGAGACTAGGCTCGTTCCTTCATATCTCATTTAACACTATTTCTCTCCAGAAATATCAAAAGACATCTTTCAAATTTTAACTTAAAATTCTTCTCTAAGTTGAATCATTTTTCCACAATTAATTTTTTGGCTTTTTATACAATAGCTATTAAATTAAATCAGCGATATTTTCTTCCAGCTCATCCTAGATCTAAAAATGTGCATATGGCATACTTATTTCTACAATAAGGTGTCTTTTGGCATCTTAAAGATTTCTTGACAGTGCCTAATTTTAAATCATTTTACATCAAATTTTATGTAAAATTTACATTTGAAATCAACATAAAAAAATGTTATAAAAATATTTAGCAAGATTTGTTAAAAATAGAAATCCTATATACAAGTTTTCAGCTGCTTCAACATGGCAGTCAACGTGTTAAACGATGTTATATTAGTACATATATCAAATTGAATTTTCAATCAAATACATTTGATGACTGCATTCAAATACAAAGTAACTCACTTAAGACGTTTATTAATACAATTAATGTTACAAATTAAATAATAGTTCTTACTTATTCTCTCTGTTTATATTTTAAAGAATTTGTTTAGAGGGATCGAGATTTCACGATTTATAAGATATCCGTACAAAGGTTGCACCCTCTTTTTCTCACCGTTATACGCTTCCCTAGCTTTAGATCCTCACCCTCGTTCAGATTTCCACGAACTCGCTGGAAAGAAGCATGGGGAAGACTCCGTGGAGCATAGATTTTAAGGGTAGAAAATCGTAAACCTCCGTCGCGTTACCCTTATCCCGAGCGACAACCATAAACCATGTCTCGATTTTAGATCAACACAAAAAATTCCAAAAAAAGTATCAATAACTCTACTATTATGTTTTTAAGCTTTTAATGCTGAAATGTGACGATTTTATTACGAGAAGATTAATACATTTTTGAGGGCCAAATATAACTGATTTATTATGATTTATTATGATTACTTTGATACTTCAAATTTTTTATAATACTAACTAGCTAAAAATATTACACAATCAGTAAAAAACTAACATTATTACATTCAAATGACTATAAATACTTACTTGTGACAAACATTATTCATTTTTGCATTTACACAATTTATATTTGTCGTAATTTGTACACTTAACACGATGTTCAATTTTCTACTTTATAAATTTCCGCAATTTAAAAATTCAAAATTTTTAAATGTTGACATTTTTACATTTTAAATTTGTTAAGTTTCTATTCCTTGACTTCTAAATTTCTAAATCTACAAATTTAAATATTTTAAAATTTATATACATTTAAGTTTTTAACTTTTCATTCTTCAAAATTCCGTAATTTTCTAATGTATAAATTTCTTCTCCAAATCCTAAAATTCCTAAATTTTCTTATATCATCAATTCTTCTTTATTTTGTCTATGCCGATCCTTTATACCGTCCCGTATAAGTGAAACAAATACTATTAACTTTTGTTACAAATAAATCTTTGCATCGTGGAAACACCACCCTTCTAACTCGTTTTTATAAAATTCCATGCATACGTTTCTCGCCGAATACCAAACAATGTTCACGATTACACTGTTCGAAATGAAACATAAATCACCTGTGCAGGAAGATCCATTGGCGCGGAATCCATCGAAACACGAACATTTCACACCTGTCTGAGTATCTTCGCACACATGTTCGCAACCACCCTTGTCCTGATTGCAACGTTTCAGACTATTCAGCGTCGTTTCTGGAACAGAAGACAATGAATTTTTCGCAGTGCAGACAGTTACCTCAACCGACATTCCCATTCGACGAAAGATAACTTCACTGTAAAAACCTAGAGAATTTAATTCCCGAAAGGTGTTAAGTATGCGTTTGTTTACTTTGTTCTTTTGTAACGTAGACGCCAGTTCGTGTAAATCATGCTTACTGATATTGAAAATTAAGGAAAATCTTCACAATTTAATTTCTTTTCACTTTCCAAAATGATTAATTTGGAAGGTGCTACTTCGAGAAATATTTATTAAGCACTATATTATAGGTCTCTTGAAATAAAATGGAGTTCACTTTAACATTTTTCAATGATATGGAAAGTAAGCAATATATTCAATCAAGTTAGATGGGACATTATGTATTTTGATTCGGTATAGAGTTAACTACATTCCAAGCACGTGAATAAAATTGATATTTAGTAAATAGTTGGACAAGAGTTTAGTAAATAATTAGATATTTCGACAATTAGTAAATAGTTTAGTTAAAGCATGTTTTGATGTTTTCCTAAACTTAATCTTGTCTATTTATATAGTTATTTTTATTTATATTGTATATATTTATTTTCCGTTATATGTGTATACATATAATTACATTTATATTTATTCATTTGTAATTATTTATTTATAGTTATTTATATTTATATTACATATACTGATATTCATAAATTAAAATTGGAGAATTCAAGAATAAAATACGAAAAATTAAAAAAGGCAATATTCCATAAACATTAGAATATTGAAAATTATTTCAGTAAAAACTGGAGAAATCAAAATTGGAATATTTAGGATTAAATTGAACATTAAAGCATTCAAAATTAAAAGCAGTGGAACCTAATTTATCAAAAGTTGCAGTCTTCAAAAGACGAGCACACGAAAGTAACATATTGAAAATTGTAGCATTCGAAACTGGATCGCTTAAAATTGGAGTATGCAAAGTTGCAGCGTTCAGAACTAGAACAGTCGAAATTGAGATATTGGAAATGGTAATGTTCCAAAAGGTAGCATTGAAAATATCAGAATTTCCATTTTCTACAATTTTCAATTTTTTTAATTAAAAGCTTATTGACTCCCTGTTAGGCGCACGAGTATTTATAACGTACGTAGTCACGTTGTATCTGGCAGATACATCTATCAGATAAGTGCATATTTCTTAAATTATTATTTTTATTATTTTAATATATGAAAATTTGTATGATTATTTTTCACTGTTTCTGATGCAGCAACTTTAGTAAATTAAAAAATTTTATGTTAATTCTTAGATGTGTTTCTTATGTATTAAATTTGTGTACGTTTAACAATAAAATTAAGGTTAAAAGTTACATTATTTATTCAAATTTCTTTACAAATTTATGAAATTAATTGGAGGAATTAGTTGCTTTGATTTCTACGTTAAAACATTGATTACAAATTGCATTTGCATGTAATTTCAAATATAGACGGAACAAGATATAAACCCGGCTGTCAGGTAATTTTATGGTGCCTAGGAGTTATGAAAGTGAAATCTGCCAATTGCACTTCTAGGAAGCGCTTCGGAAAATATCTGTCGAGAACTACTATAAATGTCCATTTCCCACAAATATTAAATTTGTAATTATTTTGCAAAAGTCATCCATGTATCTTCTAAATACATGCATAGCAAACGGCAGGTTAAAGTATATTAAGTTAGAGGTGACTTTGCATGAATGTTTGATCTGTGAAAAAAACTAGTGATGGCGCCACTCCTCTTTTTCTATGGACACAGAAAGAGAGGTATTTGTTTTTTACTACTTTATCGTGATTCAAATTAATTATCTTTGTTAATCTATGTCAGACGTTCTTAACTTGAAGCTTACAGAATCCTGGAAGTCCGCGAAACAATTTTAACATTAACTTTACATTCCCCAACTTTTTCCTTTTATTCAAATAACTCGTTTAATAAAAATTCGTCAATACTTTTCGTGTTTGTTACTTAACTAGTTATTAACATAACTAAACAATAATTCGTAACAATTTAATTATGGAATGGGGTCTGCAAAAAAGATGTTCAAGAGGGGGTTCTCGGATTACTTTAAGAACCCTTAGTCTATATCATCTTCGTTGCTTAACCTCTTAGGCACAACGCGCCACTATAGTGGCGTTCATGAATACCATCTCTCTGTACAACGGTCCACTATAATGGCTCACTTTACTGGGTCATTCACTCAGCATTTGAATTGAATGATGGTTTTGATGGTAAGTATCAAGCGATGAAAATTAGCACGCCTTTTGTGTGTTAGTACTGACTAGTGGTCTACAGACCAAGTCACCTGAATTCGAATGTGTATTTAACCTTTTAGGAACGACGCTCTACTATTGTAACTTTCGCGGACACTATTGTCAGTACGACGATTCACTATAGTGACTTTCGTAAATATTATCATAAATATAAAACTATAGTGGCTCACTCTACTGGCTCACTAGCTCACCGTTTCAATTGAATAATCCTTTTCATATGTTTTGATTCCCACTTTTTTACCTTCACCACGTTTTAGAAGAGTATTAAAAAATCCCACAAAAGTACATTACATGTGAATGAAAGGTAACGCCAAGTAGTTTAGACAGTATGGGCGAAGCACCTCTTTGCACTAATAAACAGTGTATATTGGAAACATTTGCAAATTATTACATATTTTGTGAATTTTCTAAAAAAGTAAATTATCAAAGTTAGATTGTATGTATCACATCTTTGGGAAAAAATCATAATTTAGTTATCAAAAACTTAATAGAATAGCATTGTCCGTCATACATTGTAGTGTTTTATCGTTTATGCATAATCCGCGCCGAACTCTATCGTACAGAAAAGCGGCATCGCGTGACGTTTACGCATACCTAAGAGGTTAAAATAAATAAATAATATTCTAAGAAAATTGGTATGATGCACCACTTTTGATTACGTATTTAAAAGTATCTTACCACCCTCTTTTACGCAACGCGGAAGGCTGCCTAACCAAGTGCCATTACTGCAGAAAAGTCGATCAGCCATTGAGTCCTCGAAAACGTATCCCTCCGTGCATTTGTACATTGCTACGACATATCGATTGAAGGGCGGCAATACATTCTTCCTTCTGGAAAAATATTTAAGAAAGAAATAATGTTTTAGTAATAATATTTTATGTGTAATGCACACATTCTTTAAAATTAAAGGCACTTGTAGAACTATGTTTAAAATTTGATTAAAAATGTATTAATGCATAATTTTGTATACGTTATTCCTACAAAACATTTTATAAGATTTAAATTTACTTGCGAAATCTAATTAGAACTCTTAAAGAGCGTACCATAGAGTCTTCTTGTTTTCGTAGTTTTAATCGAGTTAACCCTTTCACTTTTGAAGATTTTTATAACTGACGTTAAATATGTAGATTTTAGCTGGGTTGAAGTTCGGTATAAAGTGTTTTCATAAGATTAATTCAGTATCCACCATACAAGCTTGACACGAATCAAGATTGATATAATAAAGTAGTAGAAAAATGGACATATAGAAGATATTCAGTAAAATTACTATTAAAATTAATTAAAAATTAAACTGAAAAATTAAATGAATTTTTCGAATAACTTTGTAAGGAAATAGACAAGCTTCCTTATGAAAAATATAAGAACCATGCGAAAAGATATCTATTTTCAATCTATAGATTCCACATTTTCAATCTGAGAACTTCAGAAATTTAAAAATTTAGAAATTCGGAAATTAGGAAAATAGAAAATTGGGAAATTCGGAAATTAGGGAAATAGAAAATTGAGAAATTCGGAAATTTGGAAATTTTTTTAAACGAATCATTTTCTTTTCGTCAAAACATTTTTTTGGCTGGTTAAAAAGTATATTTTCAAAATCCTCTAATAATTGTTACATGCAGAAACATGTCACTGAAAAATAATTTAGGTTTATCACGAGTAAATAAATCAAACGCGATCAAAACCTGTGCTAATATACATATTTGCAGATAAATAAGATTTATCACCGCGATATAGTGTCCAAATTTGTGAAAATGAATATATTATGAGCACCAAATGTGAACAAAATGATCGTGCATTCAAATACTCTGTCAATATGATTGATCGCTTGTGTTTGTTCATGTACGCGTAACAGTTCTACTGTGTCTGAATATACGTTTACTTATTTCACTGTGATACTCGTAGGAAGGAGATATTGACGAGTACAGTCAACTTTTCTATAAAAAGAGGCGACGTAAGGAAAACAAATTATTCTACTCGGCGATTTTTGGTTGTGAAATCTACAAATTTAGACGCTAGTTTGCAATTTTTGAATTATTGCAATTTGGGAATTTGGACACTCGAGAATTTAGAAATTTGTAATTTTGGAAATATGAAATTTGAGAATTTGAAAAATTGGAAAATTAGAAAATTGATGAATCGGGAAAATATGAAATTGGAAAATTTAGAAATTCGGAAAATTGCAAATTGGATAATTTAGAAATTTGGGATTTTGGAAATATAAGATAGTGGAAATTTAAAATATGAAATTTGGAAATTTGAGAAATTTCGAGATTGGAAAATTAAAAAATTGATGAATTGGGAAAATAAAGAATTGAGAAATTTAGAAATTTGAGAGTTTGGAAATTCGAAAATTTAGAATTTTGGGATTTTGTGAATATAAAATATTGGAAATTTGAAATTTGGGAATTTGGGAATTTGGGAATTCGGGATTTTTTGAATTTGGGAATTTTAGAATTTGGGAATTTGAAAATCTAGGAATTTGAGAATTTAAGGATTTAGGAATTTGGGAATTTGAGAATTTGAGAATTTGAGAATTTGAGAATTTGAGAATTTGAGAATTTGAGAATTTGAGAATTTGAGAATTTGAGAATTTGAGAATTTGAGAATTTGAGAATTTGAGAATTTGAGAATTTGAGAATTTGAGAATTTGAGAATTTGAGAATTTGAGAATTTGAGAATTTGAGAATTTGAGAAATTCGGAAATTGAGAATTTGGGAATTTGGGAATTTGGGAATTTGGGAATTTGGGAATTTGGGAATTTGAGAATTTGGGAATTTGGGAATTTGGTAATTTGGGAATTCGGAAATTGGGAAACTGGAAAATTGATGTATTGGAAAAATAGAAAATTGAAAATTTTAGAAATTTAGAAAATTAGGAATTTGGGAATATGGAGTGTTGGAAGTTGAGAAATTTTTTGGATATTTAAAAATGTGGAAATTCGTGAATAGAAGAATTTACAGATTGTGGAATTGACACTTTAAAAATATTAATGTTCATAGATTTTGAAAATATAAAATATTTCATCAAAAAATCATCAAATTTTTCAATTGGACAAGTTGGATAATTAGAAATATGAAAATAATTCTGATAATTTAGAAATTAGAAAATTTGGAAACTTCAAAACGGGAAAATGTAGAAATTCAAAGGAACTCAACAAAGAATATAACAAGAAAAATATAGGTGTATCGAAAATGAATTTATTAAATATGAAATTTGCCGCGCTCCACGCACATGAATTAGTAACTTATGCGGTAGAGGAGGAATTCAGATATAATGAAAATAGTTACTGTATGAAAAAAACTACGATTCAAAAAAATGAATAAAATTTAGTTCTAGTAAAGATTATTATTAAAAGAAATTGACAATTTAAAGGAAAACTTTTAATGTAATTTCCTTGATTTCAGGTAGTATGTTGTAAATAACGCAAATAAGACGTGTAAAATAACACTTAAAATCTTTGTCTTCAGAGAAATGTAATACTGTTTAATTTAATTTGTCAAACCTAACAAAAGTCTAAACAACTCTTTTTATAAATAAAAAAATAATAAAACAAGAATAAATAAAAAAAATTTTAAATAAGTACAAATACAAGAATTATAAAAAATAAAAAAATTTCACTTAGTACAGCCATCTAATCCCTACCTTTCCTACATTTTCCAAAGCAAAATTGTTAAATTACTCGAAAAAATCCATGACGAATTCCTCATTTTAAACCCGGTTCAGTTATAAAAAACTACGGTAAGTTAAGAAGGAAATGCGCATCAAGAAAAACAAGATAAAGCGTCTACCTGTACTTTTTCCTCTCTTTGTAACGTCTCCGGGTTAAAAGATACAAACCTGGCGTACTTGGCAGGATATGCATTTTCAAGTGGAGGAGCTTTCGCAAGTCCTTTCTTGCGGGCTTTCATGAAGCAGCTTAAATCCAACCTCGACATTATTGTTTCATTGAGGCCCGAGACCGTTGACGCCAGAGGCGAGCCGGCCAAAGACTTCTCGACGACTTGCTTCTGCCTCTGTTTCCTTTCTTTCGCCTTTCTTCGTTTCTTCAACTCACCGATTCTCTTACGCGCTTTCAGTCTCTCTCTCGCTGCTTTTTCCCCGACCGGTGTCGTCGAAATTGGATCATCGCCGAGATAAAGATCGTTGCGAAAGTGTCGGAATCTGTTGTCTGAACAGAAGAATTGCGGTTTGAAACGGGGCCAATTAGATGGACAATTCTACGAATAATCCGATGCAATTTCGAGAACGATCTATTCAGCTCGTTACCGAGAGATTATTCGGGAGAGAATACATGCTCGAATGCCGTTAGTTTTCACAGGAGGTGCGGTTATTTAGGTGGAATAATGTGATTACAAAGTGAACGAATGTCTTTCATTATTTTACCTAATTCATATACGTTTCTTCTTAAAAATCACGGAAAATGATATGGAGGTTCATAAATTCCTAAGATATCAAGTTTGTATACTTCTAAATTTATAGATCGTCATATTAATATTTTTCAATATTTCTAGGTTTTCAATGTATTCTCAAATTTTTAAATCCCTATATTCCCAAACTTTTGAGTCCTCAAATTCCTATACACCCAGATTTTCTAGGTCCTCAAATTCCTATATCCTCAAATTTCCTAGGTCCTAAGATTCCTATTTTCCCAAAATTTCTGGTTAATCAATTTTTTATATTCCCAAATTTCTACATTTTCAATTTCCTATATTTCCAAGTTCTCAAATTAATATATTCCTAAATTTCCAAGACGTAAAATTCTTATTTTCCCAAAATTTCGACATTCTAAATTTCCTATATTTTCAAATTTCCAAGTTCACAAATTGATATACTCCCAAATTTTCTAGGCCCACACATTTGTATATTCTTAAACTTCTACGGCTCCAAATTCCTGATCCTTCACGTTCTACCCATACATTTCTACGTCCACTAAATCCATACAGTTCAATGTTTTTCATCCACAAACTATGTTCATGAAATGCCTAGAGTCTAATGTTCTTCTATCCTTAAATAACAAAAATTTACGAATAATGAAATCCTCAAATTTTTTACTTCCCAAATTCCTATACTCCCAAACTTCTATATCTCCAAATTTCTAAACTTGCATATTCTTCTATTCGAAATATTTAGAAATACAAATATGTTTCCAAATCCCGAAATTTTTATGTTATTTTGTCAAGAAATTTCTGTCTTCGAATTCTTTAAAGTTTCATATTCTTTTATACCCCACATACCAAAACCTAGTAACACTGAAAACCTCGACTTTTTAGATCCCCAAATACCTGAATCTTCAAATTCTTATACCTCCAAGCGTTTACGTGTTCAAACTCATAATGTTCCTTGTTCTATCCACAAACTTCGGAGTTTTCTAAATCCTTAGAGTCCTATGTTCTTCTATTTCCAAATTTTTATGTCCAAATCCTTATGGACCTATATTCTTCCATCCCCAAATCTCAAGACGTATGAATACTGATGTTTTCAAACTTTCTCTAAGTTCTGAAATCCTCAGTTTCTTACATTACCAAATCATTATATTCCTAATATGCCATATTTTATTCACAAATTTCTATATACAGGGTGTTCTAGTTTTTTCCGGCCAAACTTTTCCAGCGTGTTCTGCGCGCAAAAGTAAGAAAAAAATGTTATATGAGCATTTCCTCTTACATGCTTTATTAAGGAGTTATAACTAATAATACAAAGTTATAATGAATTGGCATTTCGTCGACACTGTGTACAAATGTATTATGAATATCTCTATTTCTGTTTGCATGAACTCTTGCCTACTTGCTTTGGTAATTGATATCCGCATTTTTTATTAACGATTTGTTAACAAATTATCATTTCAAAATGACGTCCGTTATTACGAATACGTACGCTGTGTCGACGAAATGCTAGTTCATTATAATTTTGTATTATTAATTATAACTACTTAATAAAACATTGGAGAGCATATGTTCATATAACATTTTTTTCTTACTTTTGTGTATAGAACACGCTGGCAAAGTTTGGCCGGAAAAAACTGAGACACCATGTATATTTACTAGGTCCCTAGTGTTCGTGAATGTCAACGCTAGTTAAAACATTTTTAAATTATCACTGGAATTATGGATTCTCGATGAGTATTTACTTTTGGATTTCAAATGAAGCACAGCAATATGTAGGTTAGGAATGAAGCGTAAATTAATTTATGCATATATTCATCACGTCGACTAAAATTAAGATACATGTCGGCAAAAGCATCTTAACAATTTCGGTAATTTAAAATGAGGAATGTAAGATGCGTCATTTTGACGCGTTCCATGAATCTTGTGTTAACAAAGTTTCAGAAGGTATTTGGCAATTTAGGAATTTCAGAGAATTGATGTTAAAAAACATGGAAATTCGATAGTGTGGAGATTGAAAATATTGAATATCTAAGAATTAATGAGTTTGGAAATTTGGGAATTTTATAAACTTGACCATTTAAAAATAAAGCATTGCAAAAATTTGGAAAATCGAAACTTCAAAAATTTGAGAACATGAAAATTTGAAAATTTAGAAATTTCAAAACTTATTTGATAAATGTGATAAGTGAAGATGTGAATGTTTAAAAATCTGAAAATTATATTAACTTGAAATCTAGTGATTTAAAAATTCAAAAAATTATATGATTCGAAAACAGCGCAATTTGGACAAATATAACTGGCAATGTAATAACGTAGGGGTTCAAAAAATGTGTAGATAATTTAATGTAGGCATTTTGGAAATTTGTAGTAAAGTAAATGTAGATATTCAGGAAAGTAGATAATGTTGATATTCAAAACTTACAGCTAGTGCATTTTCCAAACAGTATTTAAAAAAAATTTGGCTAAACGTATTACATTTCCCAAGATCGAAAATAAATGTTGAAAGCTTATTTCTTTCTACTCGTCCCTATCCAAAAGAAGCATACGTTGCACTCGAGTATACTTTTGTAACTAATTATACTGTTAAAATGTTAATGTTTTGGCAGAGCAAAGATTAAAAATTTTATTGTTGAAAGGAACTTTCAGAGATGCTCCACTTCACACGCTGACTTAACAGCGAATGAATATTGTAGTTTTAAAAAATGGATGCTGATTTTACTAACGAATAACAATTATTTATTATTTAACAATGACAGTGAACTTTAATAAATACTTGAGTGTTTAATGTGTTTTAACTTGACTGATTTTTGTGTTCTGATTTGTTCTAATGTTTTACTTATTCTTTCTGATTGATTTTTTCTTTCTGCCGTTTTTCGGCATATGTTGCTGTATTTAAAACCTCTGTTCTCCCTTCCTTTGCGCCCTTGGCGTGGTACATTTTTGGAAGGGGAACAGGGGTTTGTATTTCGCGTCTGTATATATCAATCTTCATTTTTTATTTTTGTTACTCGACGCCGTTTGACAGTATGATTATGTGGAGTGTATATGTACATTTTTTGCCATATTACATTATTTGTATCACCCTTAACCACGTATGCGTTTTATTAGACTTCCTGCGAATTTAAATTTATGTTAAACTTTGCTTAGACGCACATAAAAGTCTTGATATTTCTTTACTATTTAATAGTTCTCAATGCTTAGGATATAAAAATGCAAGTTTTAATATTAGGAATCCAATGGTCAACAAGTTGTGCGTATATAAACTTGAGTATTTTCAGCATATTTGACATGTGAGTGCGACACCACATTAACTTCAATCTATAATTTAATTCGATTACGTTTATGAGTGTTAAAATGATTCTATAATGACTCTTTATTTAAAAAGAAAATAACTAACATCTGTTTACAACCGTTTACAACTGTTTACAAGTGACAGGAAAAACATGTTTTACCATTTTAATGGCATTCCCTACTTAACCGACCAATGGAGCATGGGTAAAATCCAATATGGCGTCGCAGTAACTAGTCAAATACATCCAAAACGCTAAAATTGAATTTCTGTATCCTAGACATCAAAACCTATTAAATAGTAAAAAGTACAACAATAATTTTATGTACCCCAAAGCAAAGTTTAAGCCTAACATATAATACACATCAACACGTTAATATTGTTTACTGTAAGACCGAAACTAACTAATTTGTCGCCGCGGTTGCATGCGGCTGCATTTCAGTGTCCTCTTACGCTTCAAGTATACGCTTTCGACGCGGTGAAGTTCACTTTAACACACGGATATCCGGGATAACCGAGCACAACAGCAACTTTGTCGTTGCATAAGTGGCGTACAGACGAAATCCAACGATACGTTCCATTTCCTAGCGAGCGAGCTCACAATAATAACGCGGTAAACTTGTACGCCAATTCCACGCACGAGTTTCCTCCGTCAAAGAAGAAGAACCTATTCTATTGTTGCTGTGCCTGCTATATAATAGTTGCAAAATGATTGATAAAACGTGAATAACTTACAAATGTATTGTCGTAAAGAAGCCAATTACTGCGAAACAGCCAATTACCTGGTAAAAGTATTGTGGCAGTAAATTTTTAAGCTCGAGTCGCTTTATGTTTGTTGTATGAAAGAGATTTCATTTTTATTTTGTTACAATTGAATTTATTATTTATTTATGGACATTAAATATGCTTATGATGTTATTCTATGATTTCAAAGTTGCTGTTCAATTTTATAATTATTTAGTAATGAAGAAATAAAGTAGAGCTGTTATCTAATAAAGATTTACAACATAATATGCTGCATATCAGTTTGGAAGTTCTAAAAGAAAACTTAAAAAATAGAAATTCTATAATTTTATTTACTAAAATTTTAAAATAGACATTTCGTTGTAATAAGCAACTGTTTTTCTGTTCACAGAATTAGAATGATTTTAAATATAATAGCTTTAAATCTTATATAAATAAAAATAATCTAAAATTCTAAATATAGTAATTAACGAACTTATTTCTTTTAATTTTTAATTCAAATATTCAAAACTGAATAGTTCTGATATAAATTTATTTTCTTTGCTGCCATTTCCATCAAGAAATTTGTCGGGATCGTACATTTCAGTAGAATGAATGTAATAAACTCTCGTTATATCCAATCGTATATCCCAGTAGAATTAATATTGCAGACTGTCATTACATCAAATTGCATATTTCAGTAGAACTAATGTAACAAACGCCCATTATGTTATCACAGATAAGACTATGATGGTGAATACATAAACAATT